AGGCGATACCTTCCCTTTCCCTCTCTGTTTTGCAGCCGAAACCCTCCTCACTGCTCCCTCTCTTGCTTCTTCGTTTCTTTTCTTTCAGAACCCATGCTGCCAATCTCTTGCTTGCTTTGTTTTTCCTTCAGATTTTTTAGCCATCACTCAATGCCCAGCCCCCTTTCTCTCCGCCTTCTCTCGCTCTCGGCTCAGCTATCTCAGTTTTCCTCAGCCGTTCACTCCCTCTCTAGCTTCTGTTTTCTTTTTTGCCTTCCAACTCTCCCCTCAGTTTTTTCCTTAGCCCGTCAACTCTCTCTTCCATCCTCTCAACCTTTCTTCTTTTGTTTTCCGAAACCCTCTCCCCTCCAAAAACTCCTCTTGCGGCTGCCATCTTCTTTGTCCTTTTATATCATCTCCCAATCCCCTAAAACCCTTCCTTGAATGGCGAGGATGAAGGCTAGCCTCTGCCTTCATCCTGCCCCTTCATGGCACGCATGAAAGTGCCCTTTGCAAGCTGCCAAAAATGCAGCTTGCAAACCGCGATCCCTTTTTTTTTTTTTTTTTTTTTTAACTTAACAAATACAGAAATGATAAAATATAAAAAATAATTATAATAACAAATTGACAAAAACCGAGTAATAATAATAATAACAATAATGAAAATAATTTAAAAAACTAAACAACTAAAAACAACAAAAATAGCCATTTTTCCATCTTTTTTTGTTTCATTTTTCTTTTTCATAGTTTTTTTTCATTTTTCACCTTTTCTCTTTTTTCTAAATGAATCAAACAACAATAAAAGATAAATTAAGTAGAAATGGCTAAAATAAAGCTAAATAAAACAAAATTGCTATTTTTCTTTTCTTTTTCCCTTTTTTCCTTTTTTATGATTTTTCCTTTTTCTTTTTTTTTTTTTCAAGAAATTCTATGCTAAAAACTTACAAATAAAAATAAAACTATAAACTAAAAACTAAAAATCGAATAAAACTAACACGACAAATAAAAAACTAAAAATAAACAGTAAATGAAATTACACCAAAAATTTGGTGTCTACAGGTACCATTTGAAGCTAAATTGGAGTAGGAAACCGCCTTAGTTTTAATGCTATCATGATTCAGACGAGAAGTTTAAATTATTACAAAGAAAAGAAAACATTTTTAAGAACTCTTTAACTTTACTCATAATATGCTATTATGAAGCAAACATATTATTTTTGTGCCTGAAATCACCTCCAATAAAATTTTAGTACTAAAATTAAACATTCTGCCTTTACCTAGTTTTTTTTTTATCTAGAAAATAAAAATAATAGTTGATCTGTTTTTAGCAAGAGATTGGTGTGATTTAAGAAACAAGCATAGGGCAAGGGGTTTGAATTCAATATCTATAAATCTTGGATTCAAATCTTCAAAGAATGAATTTAGGTACATCAATAATATAAATACATACATATACATATATATATGTATATATATATATATTAAGCTTTGGTTCAATTTAGATGAAACTAAGAATTATAAGTGAATATGTAACTGGAAATGAGAATTGGGGTGAAAATGATGCCTTTTGGATATGTGAAAGACCAAATTACACTGTTTTAAAAGTGAGTTACTAAAAAAGTATAAAACCTCATAAATAAGGGACCAAAATGCATTATTTTAAAAGTGAGGGACTAAAAAATATAAAACCCAACTCTCGAGGGATACTTTTATGGTTTTTCAAATTTTAATTTTGCTGCAATTGTATTTTAAATTAACGGACGCACCCTCAACCAGTCAAAGATTGACTTCACATTGAAAAGGATTAATGTGTCATTTGAAAAGAACATTTCTCCGGAATTAAAATATGGATTGTGACACTCTTTTAAAAAAAAAAAAAAAAAAGGATTGAGACATTAAAATCACCCAGCTTTTAGTGTTTCACTTCTATGTTAGTGTTAACATAATATTATCATCGTTATTGTTGTTAAAAATATTTTGGCAAATTGTGTTGGTGAATTGTAAGAGGACCTTCCATAATATCATTCTTTATGGTAAATGATGTTGGCCAATTACAAGAGCGCCCTCCTATTGGAAATTGCCATGTTGTGCTATAATATCATCTCCCAATTTTGTTCTTAACTTTTATCTTTTGCTGCTGAATTCATGTTCCTTCTCTTGTTGTGTTGTTGCATTTTTATGTAGTTGAAAAACTGAAAAAAAGAGTTATAAAAACTGAAGTACTACTCATTGCAGTAATAATAGACTTGCAAATGAACCGAGTTGAGTCGAATTTTGGCCTAATTAAACCAAGCCTTGACTTAGTTTTATCAAACTCGAACTCGAATTTGAACCCGACGAGCTGACAATTTTGAAGTTCGAACTCGAAAAAATAAAAATAAATTTTTTTTTTAGAATAAGCTCGACGATATTGATTGAGCTCGAGTCGAGCTTGACTCGAACTGCTCGCGAGCGACTTGATTCGTTTGCAACCTTAGGTAATAGTTAAAAAAACTGCTCAGTTGCTGCAACTTTGCTCTTTATTGGAGGTATGCCCCCTCCTGTTTTGACCTTTCTCTTTCAGTGTTATTTCTATTTCCATTGTTGTCCTAATAATGATTTAAAGGACAGTATAAGGGTAGAGATGAAACTTAAATATTATCTCTCTTATAATACACATTTTTTTAATGTTAATTTAACCCAAAGGGATTGACAATGTTATGAACCAGTAATCTAGGGAAGGTATGAGCGATTTTGAAAACTACAAGGGCTCTAAATAATATTAAGAAAAACTTCAAGGGCTCCAAACCATAGGGAGATAAAGTGTACATTTGACAAACCACATGGGGGTTGTTGGTATTTTACCCATTCTCAAATGCACGAAACATTCTTCCAAGGGTTTGACTTATAGAGGGACAATTTTGGCATTTTCCTTTCAGACGTTAGTTTAGATGTTTTTCGTCAGACTTTTACTTTACTTGAAAGGACGGGGAGTCAAATTGTAGGTTTTCAAACCATAAGAAGGTAAAATGAACATTAGTCAAACCACAGGGGGTTTTGGGTATTTAACCCTTATTCTAATTGGAAAGTTTTGACTACTTAAATATGATTTGGCAATCAAGTGTGACATAGTTGGTAAGATACTTTGCGTATAATTGAAAGGTCATGGTTCGAATCATCAAAAGAGTAAGTGAAGAGCCACTATTGCCAACAACCTCTTGGGTCGTCAGTACCACCAAGACTTAAAGGGTTGCCACTTAATTGTGGCTTCCTCCGATGGGAAAATCCCATCGGCTCTCCCTTTGCTTAGATTAGGATAGAGTATATTATACAAATGTTATCGTTGCGACAAAAAAAGAAAAGAAGAACCACTATTAATCTTCTTTAAAAAGACAAAATAACAAAAAATTAAATGTGACTATCCTAAAAAAAGCCAACAACTTCTTGGGCTGTTAATAAATATCTTGGTGGGGGTGGGAGGTCAAGAGTCCCTTGCCTCCCAATTTGCCACTTAATTGCGACTTCGTCCGACGGGAAAATCTTGTCAACTCCCCCTCCCCTTAGACTAGATTATACAAATGTTATCGTTGCGACAAAAAAAAAATCCAGAAAAGGATGACTTACACTTTGCCCCCTATAATTTAGTACTTTTCTACATATCTCTCTTATGATTTCAAAAATGATATATAACTCCCTCATAATTTTGACTACAGTGCCAAAATTACAGAATGGAGTCGAATAACATTCCAAAAGTACCCCTTATGTTAAGATGAATTTTATTTGTTAAGCAGAAGGAGTTATATATAGATTTTGAAAACTATAAAGAGACTATATGATAAAATGCTAAATTATAAAGAGATTATATGATAAAGCAATGAACCATAATAAGTTAAAGTTTCATGCATATTATGTTTATATATCTTGATCACTCCAATCATCTTAGTTTATAAATGAAGGTAATCTCAACATTTCAATTGATTCCATTACAAAAGACACTTTAATTTAAACTATGAAGGAGTTATGTATTATTTTTGAAACTATAGGAACGTTATTTACAATACCACTAAACCACAAAGGAGACAGGTGTAATTGACCCAAAGAATTTTTTTTAAAAAAAAATATCTTGCATTTTCCGAAACACAGGGTCAAAGAGGAGCCATTCCTGGTGAAAGAAAATGCGAATTTTTTTTTATTTTTGTTAATAGCCACGAAATTTCCAGTTCTTCTTAGTGCTGTAACCTGTATGGGTAAATTTGATCTCCCATAATACAACATAATGCAGTGCGACACAGTTCGAGCTTGCTATTCAATATCCTCACCATACTTGTATATACCAAAGATAAACATATGTTCAATAAAGGGGGGAAATGAACTGAAAACATTAGTTCATCACTCTTCTTCTGCTCTACCAACTTTGTTCCAAAGAGAAAATGCAGTTCTGGGCTTCATGCCATTGGAGCTGATGTTCCTCAGGAAATTTCTATACCACTTGGCAGAGGACCTAGGATTTCTATTCAACGTTGCCCGATCAACAGAATAAAGTCCAAACTTCACATCATACCCAAATGACCATTCAAAATTATCCATCAAAGTCCAAACAAAATAGCCCCTCACATCAGCACCATTTCTATCAAACAAAAAATGCTTGCTTTCATTAGTTATTCGAGCAAATAATTTCAGTACAATCAGAGGAACAATCTCACCTCATGGCTCGAGCCAAAGATGATAGGTATGCTTGGTGAAATTCAATTCGCTTGACATCACGCTGTAAATCATCAAGTTGATCTTGTTGCAGTGGCGAAGAATAACCTGTAGGTAAGATAGAGTTATTATGAGCTTGTCTAACAATGATTAGTGGTCACTGGACAGTGGACACTCAATAAGATGGATTTCATGTATTAATTACTGGGAAAAGTGAGATCAAATCGAGAAAGTATTTAAATGCAGGGAGTAATAAATGTGAGTATGCATTCAAATGGTAAGTTCGGTTAAATTGGTTGTGTACTCACGAGTATCCATTGAGCACTTGTTCGAAAAATCTGATTATTGTCTGGTAATAGCTAAAATAAGAAATGACAAGGTAGCAGTTTTTGAGACAACATGACATGTAAAACTGGAAAAACATAGATCTACTTGCACTTCAGGTGCAAATTTATCTGAATAACACGATCAGAGCCAAGTCAATGTGGAACAGGAGTACAAGAGTAAGAGCAAAAACTGTGGATGTTCAAAACTAAACCAAATCACAGATATTTCCCAATGTATATGTTTACCATTCTCAGTAATAAAAATGGGCTTGTTATCGTATCGATTCACTGTATAGTCTACAATCTCTTCCATTCCTCTTGGAACAACACTGAATCTAGGCATCCCTGTCTGTTAAAACCAGCAAAAAACAAGATTAGGAAAAGGCTAATCTTAAGCTATATTACAAATAGAATCTGATATACAGTCAGTGCAATAAATCAGGATAAATCTGATTCTCATACAGGTTCTCCAATCAAAACACCACCATTCTCTGCAGATGTGGAGACAAAGCCTAGGATGGCACGGTCTCCACCGGGGAGACAGGCAGAGCCAGAGCAGGAACAACTTGAGTGTATGCAATCCTTGGCATAAAGAGTTGAATAGTGGTTTAGTCCAATGAAGTCAATGCTATCCCTTATGAGCAGTCTCTCCTCTGATGTGAATTTGGGTAACTCATTCCCATGGTATCGACGCATTTCTGGAGGATAATCACCAAACACGAGAGGATCCAAAGCCCTGTTTTATAAATTGAACCATGGCACATAAAAAATGGGGCATCTTGTCATTTTTTTATTCTTTTCGTATAGAAAATTTTCTTAATTCAATGCTTCTAGCTAATTAGGCTGCGATTGAGTGACAGGAAAAGGGAAAATTTAAAATGCTAGTACATGACTGTGGAAGCTTCCAGTCCCAGGGTGAAGGGTACAGTTTAAGGTGATGTCATGACTTACCAAGCCAGATTAAAAGCCAAAGCCCTATCTGCAGCTTCCTTGTTATGCTCATCATCAGTTAATGGTTCAAACATAAACGAGTGGAGCACCATTCCTATTACACCTTCTTGTTTGGGCTGCAACAAAAAATGTGCGGTTCAGATTATACGCCTCCTTTGTTGAAACGATAACAACAATGTTAAGCTGTAAAACAAAGGGATGCAGTAATGCAAGTTGATGTCATGATTTATGCAAACTAAGTATTTAACTTGCCAGAAACTGCTCGCGATAGAGTTTGGAAGCCTTGGCATGTGCAAGTAACATGTTATGCACTGCAATTAGGGGCTCGGTATCTGAATTACCAGCTGAACAGTTGCCCAAAGGAGGGGAGCAATGACCTGGAGGATGTTTTCCCCATTCATAGGCGCATTCTGCAACTGTATTTGGTTCATTTATGGTCACCCAATACCTCACCCGATCACCAAAATTCTTGAAACATGTTTCAGCAAAATGGAGGAAATCATCCCTAATTTGTCACAAATACCCGAAATTGTGATCTTATTGAAGAGTTAAATATCATCCACACAAAATCCATAATCAGATTTATAGTTCAACATACTGAATCAGAGGATTGAGCCAGCCCCCGTATTTGTCACTAAGCACTTGAGGCATGTCCCAGTGGTAAATTGTCACAAATGGCTGAATGCCTGCATTGATACAATGTATCTAAGCCTCTGAAACAATAGAAGTAAATGAGAGATGAAAGGTGGAAGAAACATGTTATGTTTGCTTAGTACCTCGGAGTAAAAGGTTATCAATAATACTATTGTAGAACATGATTCCAGCTGCATTAACACCACCGGATTTCCCATCTAAACAACCATTCAAAGATATAAGTCCGTGGCATTCAAAGAAAAATGGGACCAAAAGGGGTTATACCTGAGGGGAAAAAAACGTACTTGGAAGTATCCTTGGCCAGGAAATGGAGAAACGGTAAGCATCCACCCCAAGGGAATGGATTATCTCAATATCTTCCTGTTACGATCCAAAAGCAAACAAATTTTATATCGTTTTGCTGCTCAAAATCTTTAATTTACATCTTCATATCATTCATCTAGAATGTTTAAGGTACATTGAGATAAGTAAAAACAAGAAATTAGAGTAGCAGAGCTGGTAACTTGGTACCATGTAACGATGGTAATGGTCAGTTGCTGTATCTCCGGTGTCTCCATTCTTTATATTACCTTAAAAAGTTGGAAACAAAGTAGAAATTTAATCAGATTCACTGAACAAAAATTGTATAGAAAAACACATAGCTGCAAGAGGCAGTTTAAAAGTATCACTTATTACCAATTTTGCGGACAAAAACATCCCAGTCACTAAGGCTCTTTCCATCTTCAAGAATTGCACCCTCAATCTAAAACCATTGAAGTGGTTTCATATTAGACAAATTCCAAGAGAATTTCATCGAAAGTATTCTACCAAAAAATGCAGACAAGAACAAGAAGGTTAAAGAAACACATGATTTGTAATTTTATATACTTGATATGAAGAAGTGGAAACACCGAAGAGAAATCCAGCTGGGAAATCTGATCTTTTGACATCTTCAAACTCTTCTGCTATTCCATTGCCTCCTTCATTATAGGCTCTTACACAAGGATTTGCAGAAATGATTAATATGAAGAGCAGAAAAGAGGACGACGAGAGCATGTTGATGACCTTCGTTGTATAAGAGAGGTGTACTGATGGTTCTGAAGAGTAAAGACACTTCAGTCGGGGGTTTGGTAGAAGAAGCAACGGAAGATTACTTGTCAAGAAACAGAAACAAGACTTAAAATATTCATGGGTTCGTTTGGTGGTAGCTAAGATACATACAGCTTCTGAGGATTACTTGTCGGATGAAATCCCATGACGTTGAACAGTGCCGAACACTGCCTGCCACCTGGTTGTTTGTATTATACGATTTGAGTAATTTGTAATTCTTTATTAATTATTTATACAATTTTGTTAAAAAGACACATTTGTTATATATGGGATGGGTAAAACACCATTTACGTCTTGTAGTTTGGTATTATATTAGATAACTCTCTATGATTTAAAAACTTTTATATAATCACCTCGTGATTTGGATTAAAGTGTCATTTGTTAGTTTTTCCGTTAAAATTAATAATTAATAGTAAAAAGTCAAAGTCAACCTAATAAATTTACAAATTCACCATTTTCGCTACTTTGTTTTCCCTTTTCTCTCTCTCTTTTCTTTTTTTTTTTTTTTGGGAACGGAAGAGATGATTTTGAAAATCTATACTTTGGCTTACAAAATCTTAATTTTCTCCAAAGACAAAAGAGATGAAAGGGAAACAAAAGTAAATAGAAAAGAAACTAACAAGATGGAAGGAAAATATAAAACAAATAAATAAGAAACAAAAAATATCTTTTTTTACTACAAATATTATTATAGGTGTTTAAACCATATTTTTAATGGTATTTTCTAGTTCTTATTTATTCATTATTTATTTCAATTTCTTTCTTTCATGTCTGGAGGAAGAAAAGAAGTAATGGAAGAGTAAATTTGTCAATTTATTACTTTGATTTTGATTCTTTATCATTGACCGTTAGTTTTGACGAAAAAATCTAACGGTGGCACTTTAACTCAAATTAGGAAGAGGTTATATATAGGTTTTTCAATCATAAAAGGGTTATGTGGTAAAACACTAAATTATAGGGAAGTAAAAAGTAATTTATCCATATAGAATCCAAATGAATCGTAGTTAAATATTACATATTTCCTTTTAGAGTCTTTCCCGCTATAAAGTTGAAAACTATGTTGGAATGTGGGAAAGGTGTGGGGAGAGGCAGGAGAGTAAAGCTGTACAAGCATCTAGAATGAATTACAAGTTGGTCATATTGCGTTACGCTTGGAAGCTGAATTTGCATTCATTTGCCTTGAAATCAACATTTGACAAATCTTTTTATGTTATAGTAGACCTTATAAATACACGAATTTTATCTGATGAATTCATTTTTTTTATTTGTATGTTTTAGTTGCAATTACTAGAATAACTATGAGATCAATTTAATCAACATGCAATTTTTTTAATTCCAACCAGCTACATTATTAAAAGACCATAGCATCCTCACTCAAAAACTGTTACTTTGTAACTTACAAAATTCAGATTTCCACATTTTGTAACAGTTCAAGATATTCAGTGTAGTTAAAATTTGAATATTAATATAAAAACTAGATATTCTAAGTGATTAGTGCATGCAAAATCTAAAGAATTTGAGCCAGAAAGAAACTAGAAATGAAGGGGTTTAAAAAAAGGCAGGTTTCCTTAATTCATTTGCTTTTAGCAAGGAAAAAGGGAGTAAAGAACGCAAGTAGGATGGCAACAGGGCGTGTTTGGAGCATGGGATCCCCCCCGGTCCCCAGCCTTGTTGCCAAAAAAACTCCCCCGACCCCTGCCTCCATTCCACCCACCCCTTGCCTCGCTTCCCTCGCGGGTGATAATTTGATTTGTTTTTTAGGATCCTTTATTCAATAGATCAAAGCTAAATTCAAAGAATAGAATAAAAAAACAGCGCTGAAAAAGTGAAAAAAGAAAAATAAAACAAGAAAATTATTGAAATAAAACACCAAGAAAATTAAGAAACTCAATTGGATTGTATAAATAGCACTTGGGAATACTCATAGAACACATAAATTGCTCGTGCCAAATATCAACTAGAAATTTAGATAGAAATGGGATAAATGTTACATTTAGTTGTCAAATATTCTAAATTTATTATTATTAGATTATATAATATATTACATTTATTTATGTTAATAACTTGAAGCGGTGGACGGGACAGGGATGGGGTCGGGATATCATTCCTTGCCTCTCGCCCCATTTAAAATGAGGGGAGAAAAATTCCCCCTACCCCATCCCATTATTCCCCTACGAGGCTGGCACGCACGTGTACCCGCTCCCGTTGTCATCTCTAAATGCAAGTTAGAAACTTCGGATTCGAAACCTTTCCACTTATACTAAAAGTCAAAAGAGAGGAAAAAAAATGTTCACGTTTTACCGTAGTCGGTGAGAGGAGTCTTATCACTCGAGAATCATGCGAAAGTTGTTTGTTTGCATGACGTAAGCTCTGCTGATTAATGATCTTTTTTTTTACTCCCAATTTATGAAGTCAACAAACATAAAATACACAAAATCATTCAGGTACCGTACTCAATCATGTTGATTAATGTTTTATTCAATTTAATTAGGTTGCAGATTAATTATACTAATGCAATGTTTAGTGCATAACATTTCGAGGCAATGGCAAAATATTTTGTCGGAAAAATTGCGAATAAATTTGGGTAGTTATCAAAATCTAAATTCTCCTATAGCCTTTTTAAGAAAGAATAATAAAACTCTGCCCCATGGATTATGGCCCCGTTTGGCAAGTGAGTTTTTTGGGAGTTTGTCTAAAACTTTACTGTAACTTACTATAGAAGTTTTTAAAAAAATTTTTGAAATATGTAAATTTTTGAATATTTTGAGTGTATAGTTTAAAATTTTTGAAAATTTTTTTGAAGTTACTGTAGCTAAAACTTTTAAAAAACTTGTAACAAACAAACTTGGCATATATTATCTCCCATGAGGAAACATATCTAAAACTTTATTATGCCAAAAAATATCCTCTTAAGTAATACTAGATAGAGACGAGAAATAGGGAGAAGTCAGAAGAGTTGTTGATCGATACAAGACAAAACTAGAAGTTATTAACTTAGAATAATGAAGGCTAAAGAAATTCATTAGCCTGGAATTATCGGAGATTAAGGAAATTCATGTGAGGTTAATTTTGTGTTTATTTATTCTTCATTCATTCCTTTTTTTTTCTTAAAAAATTCTTATACAACTTTGTAGTATTTGATAGTGAAATTAGTAACAATGAAAAAAAATTAATCAACTTTACATGAAATCATAACACAAAATGTAGCACAAGATCATGACTGCAATTCCAAAGCGACATTGAAATGTTACCCTAATGTAGTACGATAATACGTGATAATAAAATTAGATGGAGAATGATAAATATTAAATTCTCCTAGAGCTTGCCAAGTCAGGCATTGAAAGAAAAATAGAAAATGTGATGTGAAAAAAAAAAACACGAAAAGAGAAAAGCACAAGGTCTTTAAAAGGAAAAATGTAAACATTTTTGGACTTTGCCTTATTGCATTTTATGTTAAATAGGGGTATACCTAGCTACGTTGTCTTCCCAAATCAAAATAATATAGATGTTTGGATAGCAAATTTTTCCAACAAAATTTTTCACTTGTATCATAAACACATTTTTCAATCCACCTTTTTATATTTCCAACTACGTTTTTATATATATCACATTACAAAAAGTGTTACAGTAATTATTTGGAATAATAGTCTTTTTTTCGTATTTTTAATTTGGCAAATGTCGTATACTATTAGAGAGAGTTGCCAGATCAAATTTTATTAATATAATAATGTAAATAATAGAAGAGAGATATAAAATCTTACCTTCTTAACAACCGCATAAATAAAAATATAAATTAAGAGTACTACTCATTTGAAATGACAGACCTAATCATGCGAACAATAATAGCCTCAAAACATACACAAATTTTTTCTTCCAACTATGCCCCTAGTGTTTGATCACACTTTGTTCTCCTCAACTGAAAAATGTACGCATTTCTTTAATAATCTTTATTAAATATATTAAAGTGGTTATAAAGTTATAATGTAATCTATAATACTTAAAACCAGTATATTTTATTCCAAAAAATTTATTGATGAAATATCTCATATAAATTTTAAAAGAAATATCCTAGAATTTTACTATGTTTTCAACATTTCCTTACATTTTATTTCTATAATTTTTAAAATAGAATTAACAGTTTCTATAGTCAATTTTTGTTGACAATGAATTATAGATAACCTCATTTACCATAATATCTTTTTGAAATCTTTAAAATTGACCTTAAAATTTTTAATCTCAAAGAAAAAATGAGATTGTAAAAAATTAATAAATTTGGTATTAACAAAATATTTTGATAAAATTTTATAAATAAAAAATTGTGGAATCACTTTGTCAAAATATATGCTTCAAAATATGGTGATCAATATGAACTCTAAACATGAAATGACAATTATGTGGTTTTGATTAAACTAAAGACATGGAAATGTTTTCAAAACTTAGATTATTTGCTCCGCTGGAACAAAAAATGTGTTTTATTAAAATAAAACATTTAATAATAGAAAACTTGCCTTCATATTACTAGCAATGTCTATCTATATTTAATTTAGGCAATATTAAAGTAACTAATTATAGTTAAACAAAAAGGTGTATCTTTTCTAGGATTAATAAGGATAATTGTTACAGAGACTGTTATGTTATTAAATAATTATGATATCTAAATTTTTAAAGCGTTATAAATTCCAAAACTTAGAGGAGGTAAACTTGTGTTTAATTCTAAGGATATTGATTAAATAACTAAGGGTATTTTTGCCCATTAATCGCTATAAAAGGACAATTTAGTCACGACATTTTTTTTGACAATCCAACTCAAACTTAACGTTTGGCTGGTCTTGGGTGGCGATAAAGTGTATTCTCTTTTGATTAAGGAGGACAAAGGGCCAAAGATTTTATATTAAGAAAAGGCCAAATGCTTTTAGGCTTTTGTCCTGTGGAATTCTATACTAGGA